AGACTATCGATAACGAAAAGGAGAAGCAAGACATCGCTCGACGCTAAGTAATAAGCACTTTTATGTTAAACGGGTTGTATTCCGCAAAATACACTTTCTCCGAAGACCCTTGAATTTTTCATAAGTAGCGGTGGCATTTCCGCTCAATTTAACACGAAACATTAGCGCGTAGCATAGAATAACAGTGCTTCTATTTTTTTTCTCAGCTATCTACATGCCTTTCCACTTGTTCACATTTAATCAACAACGTTCGCCTCAACAAAAAAATAAAATAAATTTGAAGAACGAATTGACAAAATTATAGTAAGTTTTATCAAAGATATTTATATATACTTCTAGCTTGAAATAAAAAATTTATCGTGTTATATAATTCGTATAAAACATCGTTAACACGCAGTTTCGTATGGTATTAGATAATAAAGCTCGTTCGGAATGTCGATCCGGGCGTTCACTGTTCATCGAGCGGAGTGAATCGTTTTTTTTTTTTCATTTAACGCGGGCGCCAAATCCGATCGATGTTTTCGCGAATTACAGCTCGCAGGTCGTAAACGTTAACGGTCGGCTTTAGTTATGGGACTCGAGCCGATGGTCAAGAAGAGCCGGTCGCCTTAAGAATATTCCGGATCGTTGTTGAACGCCCGAGGACGGTCCCCGGATAATTGAAGGCTGAAAACCTTCGTTTAACCTTTACGGCCAGCGGAATTATACTATTTCTGCGAAATGGCCACTCGGCGGGTGCTAGAGAGTCCCTTAGAATTCAGGGCCCGAGCCCCATGAATATTCTGAAGACCGTTCTTATGGCCACCGCCGCCGAGTTCGACGGTATTTCGGGGTCGACATTAGACGAATAAGCGATTGTACCCAAAAATATAGTAAAAATGTCCTTTAATTAAAATTCAATCAGATGTTTAACTTGTAATGTTTACGAACGACAGAGGGAACGAATGAAAAAATAGCGTGCATTAATTTTTATCAAACAAAACTGAAAAATTGTTCCTGTTTTAGGAGGAATATACAATCATAAATGAAATTGTATATTTTAATGTTATATAATAATATAAATTTAATAAAAGTTTTATTATTCATAATGATGACAAACGGTAATATATTTTAATACCAGCATGCGACATATATTCTATAATATGATTTTCTATTAATAAAAAGGTAGGCAATATGTACGCGTGTACTCAATATACATTTTTATTTAACATTCCTAAAAATGTATTTTCAGATGTTTATAAAAATTAAACTCGAATATCAATGATATTAGCGGTGCAATATCACGATTCCGGCGTATTGTTTCAGTCAAAGTTAATTTTTTGCACAAAGCAGATATTGGTAATAAAACTATAATCCTGTAAAATAGTATAAAAATGTTTTGTACTTGATCATTTATTATAAAAGTGCAGGATGGTAAGAGTGTATCGTGTATCTGAGAAAATGGTGGCAAGAATTGCAATCTTGCGAACTGCAGACGGCGCCACTAGTTGGGATAGAGAAATCGCAAGTACAAAATTCATTGTAATCTTTTACAAAAAACTTGATTTTATTGAATCAATCATTTAAGCGCAATTAACTACTCGTTCAATTATAGAACAAATATGTCGTATATTGACATTCTTTATTAACATATTCGTCATAAATCATCAAGAAATTAAAAATTGCTATTTATTTTTCCTACTAAAACATAAAATATTACTTTTCAAGTAACAGAAAAATATAAATTATTATACACATATAAATTATTATAGAACTACGTACAAAAACGATTAATATATCAAATAAATATTAATTAGAATTAATAATAATATTAACTTTCGGTTTAAAGCCAATGTATGTTTTACACATTGCGGATTTAATATTGAAATGATTATATGTCACAAATTTTCGACTTAAATATAAAATATTATAAATTTCTTGTAAATTGTGAAACGTTTAATGTTAAAATAAGATGTTTAATATAAATTTAAAAAAATAACCATGAATTACAGAGTTTTTTGATGTTAGACGTTATATATGACGTAAGCAGAATATGATGCTGTATTTAAGTTTTTGGCATATTCCAGAAAATGCATTGTCGTTTAAATTTACGATTATTTCTCATTTCTAACGAGAAACAGCATGGTTATTGTGTTGAAAAATTCCTTTTCAAAAAAATATTAAAAAAAAATACGGACAAATCAATGTATATAATAATGTAATACAACATTTATTTTTTATACACAATAATTTATATTTTATACTACTATCGTATGCTATTCCCAAGTAACACAAAAATTTGAACGACGTCTAAAAAAAATCTGCAGAATTAGGACGTCTGTTAAACATTTTTAGATGTCCTTCAGACATTTGTGTCATCATAGTAACTATATTGGGAGCAACTGTATTGAGAGGCGTTCTTAAAATATCTAATAGTTATTTTAATTTTGCGAAGCCGTCTAGACATCGTTTATATTTTGAAAGCATATATTGCTGCCATGAGATGCCGACCGACGTTTCAGTACACTAAGAAAAATGTCCGGTCATATCTGAGCGGATAATCCAATTGAAAAATAATGAACGGATATATTCGATCAAGTGCGATCATATCTGATGAAAATTACAACGGATGTAAAAAAGGCGACTTATTCTCTGGTTAGTTTCATCAGTAACTGCATCGGTAATTTTAACGGATACTGTGTCGGAAAAGGGTATCCATCGCTTGACTGGACAATAAAAATAATAATCAGATACATCATTTAATCGGATTTATCTGTTGGAAATTTTTCTCAGTATATGTTTTTAAACAAGATTCATGGTGGGCTATTTTTTCCGTATTACATTCGTTTATACAACGAGATAAGCGAGATTTATCGGTGCTTAATTTTCGTCCTTCGCGAATGTTTATCGACGCGAAAAATTAATAATTCGAACGTCTGCGATACTCGAGGATTTCCATCGCGCTACCTCGACTCTCATCTTACAAAATGGCGTGGCCGGGTACGGACGGCATCGTGGTATTCTCCACCCCTTCATGAAGGGTGAAACCCCATTCCGCGAACCACAAAGCCACCCCTCACGTGGGGTCAGCTCCCGATCCCTCGTACGCTGAATTTGAAGGTAAGCCCAGGATACGAGGGGAAAAGGGAGGGCTCGGCTTGAAGGGCCTCCCGGGAAATTCTCGGAAAATATTACCACCACCACCACGGCAGAAGCCGATCGCAGCACCATCTGACAACATTTTTCGGTAATCAGTCATGGTACAGAGACCGTCATTCCAAAATGTCATTCGCTCTCAATGTGACCGAGGTATAGGTAGAAATTGTTCGAACCGACAGACCAATACCGACCGAACGTGACCGAACGTGACGGGAAATAGAATGCATGTCGTGTATAGCGAGATATCTATCGAGTGACCTTTTAAGCTCGGAAAAATCACTCGATAGATATCTTATGGTTATTTATGAACTTTCGTCTAGTTTCGCGTTTAGCGCACTGAGTGTTGCTATTTATATCATCAAAATAGAAAAAAATAAATTATTTCTAGTCAGAATATTGTATGAATAGAATAATCTTCGAGAAACGTATAATTAACTTCTCTTAAAATTGTATTTTTAGTACGGGGAGAATGAAACTTTTTTGTGTTGCAAGGTGTAGTATCTCAATGATACGTCTGCTCAGCTAGCCCTCCCCCTATCTCCATCTAATGCGAGATGAATAAAGATGTATAATTATGTGCTTTTTGTACGTTTTTGGAAAGTGAAACGCGAAAATTTCTTGCTATTCTTATTATGCTAGAAAAAAGAATTTTTAGTAAGAGACTAAATGGACAGTCAGTAGACAGTATCTACAGTTCGATTTTATATATTTATTATATTTATACCATTTATACTGTTTATTCTGTGCCGTACGTCAGGAATTTGTGAATTTTTCGGAAAAACGGCCTATAACTTTTCCGGCTTACGATTTGGGTAAAATTTCTCAACGGCATTCGAAAGAGGAGGTCAAAATTGATAAGAAATGATGTTTGATAAATTTTCATATGATTGTTTTGTTAAAAGATATAAGGTTGAAAGTTTAAAAAAAATCGGTGTTATGTGGGAAGAATAGGGTCAAGATAAATCCCTTGTTTGAGAAAGATAATATACTGAAAAGATTTATACAGTTATATCTCGTGGAAATGACGTTAATCACTATTGATAATGTTCGATGTAATACGCAACAAGTAGGAGTGACTCTCTCTCTCTTCCAGGGTTGGCAGTCTTGAGTCTGCATCCGTGAAACGAACACGTTCAGAGACACGTTTTAAACCATATGTTTCTGTTCGGAGTTCATAATTCATCATTTATTTAGAAATAGTAAGCTAAAAAAGATTCCAAAATTCTCGTAATTGCGATCTGTTTTCATTGTTATAGTAATATCTCGACCGCGCCTATATTAGTAAAGTGTACAGTCCGAAAATAGTTAATTTTTTATGTTGTAAAGTTACTAAGATAAATTTTCGTGTGAGAACAAGATAGGTTTTCCTTTAAATTACATGTGGTTAGAATTTCCACGAGTGTTTAAATAACCGTAATTATTTTTGTGTCTGGAAAGTTATTTACTCTTCGTCGTATCAACGAAGTGTCAGTGAATATTTTACATAGAAATCTATTTAGAAGTTACATAAAAACTTCTATAAAATACAAAAACGCGCTTATAGAATTTCTATTTTCGCGAGATATTTAAATTAATAATGAGATATATAAATCTATTACTTCATAGAATTCTTAAGAAAAAAAAGAAAAAGCATTTAAAACGTGAGATTGCGTAATAGCAATTCTGTGGGCTTTAAAGATTACAAGGTGGAATTTTTTATTACGTAAGTGTCGACAGAAAATAGGAAACAACAACAACAAATAAGATACAATAAAATTCGCTAATTCATACTTTGACATTTGTGCATCAATATATTTTCGAATTTTTATCTGCCTTTGATATAATACCTTATGACATAATACTTAGAACAGAAAACTAAAATCGTTTTATTTCGCAATTTCTCATTTGCATATTACTGACCTTGAATTTTTTCCTTTTTATGTAACACTGCTTTGCACGATACATTGAAACCAGTTTCCTTAACGAAAGTTAAGGTTCATTCAGTGAGAATTACAGATTTCTTTTAGACATGTAGGCAATAATTCCACCTCCTCTCCAATCATATTATTTCTTCGTAAATCAAGCCAATAACGTTAATCATTTTTTCATTAAAATAAATTTCTCTATGATCTAAAAGCACATCTAATGCTCGGATGTTTGATATCCCGTTTCTATTTACAGTTGCTGCATATTTTAAACTGCATACATTCAAGTAGTTTTAAATAAACTTGCATCCGAGAAATTAGTTTTATACATGTTTGTTACAAGTGTTAAAAAAATATATAGAATAATATATTTTAAAATGGAGCATATGTATATTCTTCTTCTAAGTTCTCTTTGCAGAAGCGTAGTGACCTCTTTTATATATCTGTATTGCGCATGCTGTTTGTACCTATAGTTTGACGCCAGTTATGAACGGCATACTAGCATTTAAAGAGGTGCTCTTGGCAAAGATACTCTCAGTGGTTTGCCATTGCTTTCCGAGAGGAGACACGAGCGTAAAAATTTTTGGTTTCTATCGGGATCGAACCTAGAACCGCTTAGTATGGTAGATCACTGCGTCACACTAAATATATAAATGTGTATAACGATAAAATCACATTTAACGTAAACACTATTATCAACCAAAGGAATCTTGTTTTAATTAAAAATATCTTCTTAAATAGTTATAAAAACTAAAATCAGTTATATATAATGTAAAGTCTCTCTATGATTATTATTTTGTTTAAAATTATTAAATTATTCTTACTCTTACTAAATAGATAAATTTTTCTATGAAATCTAATAAAATTATTTCTTATGAACAATTATAATATCTGTTTCATCCCCATTCGCAGCTAAATACTTTTTTCTACACTTGAATTTTATCATTTACGTTGCATTGAAATAATGTTTACAGGTCATTACGAAACTTTTGGAAGGTTTGGGATTATATAGTACTCCTTCACGAATATTAAAAATGATAAGACATCGAGGTAACTTGAGTTTGCTCAGCTGCGTTGTATTCTTCGCGTTCAGCGCGGTGCATGCCGGTGCACCGATTGTACGTACGCGGAATGGCACGTTGGCGGGTTTAATGATGCAAACCAGACAAGGAAAAGATTTCGTCGGATTCCGAGGAATTCCCTACGCCATACCACCTCTCGGCGAACTCAGATTCCAGGTAAGTTTTTCTGTTTATTGCGAGACGTACGCGGATCCGATCTATGAGGATCTTTTGAGGATAGAGTCCGATTAACTCAAATCCAATTTCTCTAGACTTAAATTGATTGAATCTTTACATTTGATAAAACGAGAAATTGAAAATACGTGGAATATTTCTGAGATATAGACAGCCAAAACGGTGGATATATTTTTGGTACTATTTAGAGTGTGACCTCATTGTAAATCCAAATGTATTATTTTTACACGCATAAACGTCTCAAAATAATACATTAGACTGAAGCTATTTTTACATTTTTTGCCGATTTAACTTACATTTAAAATATTTAATCATGTTAAATTAAGACGTTAAATTACGACGTGTTAAGTTAACATGTCCAATCATGTTAAATGATATAATTTAAAATGGCAAAACACGTGTAAGAAATGCGTGAGAAAAGTTTCAGCTAAAGGATTTGCTTCTTGAGCAAAAATATCATGAGACTGACGAACACTTTAATAAAGGTCTTTCGCGAATTAAACTTAAGGCATGCGAGAATTTATAACTAAAGCTTATTTTTCTTTTAATTTCAAACAATCCTTACTTCGTTGTTCTCTCAAATTAGTATGTAATAATTACAGAGTTTGTTAATTGTTAAAAATTGAAATGCGGTTACAAATTTTTTTTATAAATTTACTCCCTGTAACTCTCGTGTGATGTAAGAGTTTATTCTTTGAATAATTTATGTCCACGATCCACTGGAGTGGAGTCGTTATTTATTTCCAATGTAGTGGCAGTGTTGAAAAAATACTTATAGAGATTGTTTTTTTAACGGGTTAAAAGTCGTTTACATCTATTTATAGGGACTAATCACGGCTATCTGAGATTACGGCTTATCATATATAAAAAATAAGCGCGGTATTAATCCTTTGCATTCAAGCGGCGCCGATACGACGCCCGGTCGATTTGAAGTGTCCAGTCGAAATGCGCTGCTACGGCGCTACGGTGTTTTGTAACTCGATCTGTTTATTTACGATGTGCGATAAGATGTCAAAATGCTGTGTCAGGGACTTTTGCAAAAATTGATAAATGGGGCTCATATAATAATATCACCAAAAAAATGCCGTTTTTTCCTATGGTATTATATAAACATCATATTTTTTCCCGCAATTACGCAACACCGCTAATTCGAACAATGACTATGCCACTTTCCTAAGTTAATGTGGAATAATATTACACCTTGCGCGTATTTTCGCTACAGCTCATGTACCTTACAGGAAGTGAAAAAAACAATGAAGTATTACAATCGAATAAATATGATAATTCTTTCCGAACACGAGTTGCTTGTAAAAATGAGTCAACCTCTCGACATATACATAAGTCTCTTTTAAAAATCGCATTTTATTATCTCTTTGTATTCGTGCGACGTTCTGTCGCTATCAAATGCACTTAACACACCGACTGGATTTGCATATATTGCATTGCTAATGTTATTGCGTCAACGACTAATGTTAAAATTACTTCTAGGTACGTAACATTTTTAATGTCCATGTTTCGTTACAAAATGTCAATATGTACTCGATCATAGGACGGTTTATTTTTTTACATACTTCAGAACATACAAAAAATATGACGAAGTGAACTTATGATTCACGAACATGCGCACGTGTTCCAAAACATGTAAAAAACACTGTTGCAACAGTCCTGTAATCGACTGCATAAGGTTCCTATAAAAATATAATTTGCTTTAGACAATAATAACTTGAGATTGTTTTGTAAGAATTTGAAATTCGATTTATAAATATAAAATTTAATGAAAAACATACAGGTAAAAATTTTCTGCAGAGAAAAACAAACTAAAAATAATTGTATCGTTAAATATATTTAATGATAAGAAGGAATTAAAAGTCAAAAGATAAATTTAAATTAATTTAATATGTATAATCATGATGCCAAATAAAATATAAATGATAACAGACTTATTTGAAGTGCACGTGCAGATATATTAAATCGGAATAAAAAAATATGATACTAACAGTCGTCAAAATTTAATCTTTAAGCGAAGCATATTATAGCGATAAGTCATTCTAATCTTATAAATATTAAATATTTCTTTGATCGATCGCTTTTGTTATCTAATCAAAAAATGCTCGTTACATTTTTCTTGTTGCCTACCTTTTATTCTATTAATACCATGTCTATCTGATGATGTAAGTTTTGTATTATCTGACATTATTAATTTCGTATTCAGAAAGCCTACCTTTCGTCACCGAGGTATACAAATGGTTACATTGCAACTACTCAATAGAAATTACTCAGATAGAATCGAGATATATCAATGCGAAGAATCTTCCATATTAATTTGATATTTCTTCTCAAGTTGTGGTACGTCACGAATAATAGACGTAATATATTTTAAGATCATTTTTTTCTGGATGAAAAACCGTTTAATTTTTTCTAGCCAACATAATCACATTAATTATTATGGTTGAATAAGTCGTGATATACTTGCTATTACTGTTCTAATCTCAATTTTATAATCTACTTGTATCAATTATAGTTCCGACGTTTATTACTACCAAATAGCTTACTTTAATCGTTAGTCAATAAAATCCATAAATAATAGACACACAATGCAAAATAATTATATAAATATTCTCTCAGAGGTATTATTCACGAAGGCCTTGAATTTTAATTGCATTCTCGATTCTTTCGTATGCCAAACATGAGTTGGTATTTACATTATATTTGCACTTTACATTTTTAAACTCGAGAATTACAAATACCACTGCATTATACTTGACATCGTTTCTATTTAATAAAACACATACTATTGTATACGTAACTAAATTTCTTAAATTAAATATTTTATTTAAGAAATTTTATTCTTTTAACTCAATATTATCAACTCATAATGAGAATGAGAGTCAATCATTCAAGTATGGAACTCACCCATACATATGGTAAGCAGTTGATATCATTGCGCTTTCTCTCTCTCTCTCTCTCTCTCTACCTGCAACTGCTACCTGCCAGCGTCACTGAGTCTTGCAACTCCATACCTGAAATATTATTTTCACATTGATTATCTCTATGATTAAAGCAGACAAAATGTCGCGTTAACTGAAGATACTACCAAAATAATGCCTTAAATAAATACATAAATTGAAAGTCGTCGTGAGGTGACAAACAACTTCGACTTAACAGAAAGATATGAAAACAATGAGCAGGTAAACTCACCGGCCAAATAGGCCGGAGTCGTTCCGAATCACCGAATGCCACTTCCTGGTACTCATTCACACGGTCACACACGCAATCGCGGTCGGGCACTGATTCATTACTCTTACGAATAAGCGTACTAATGTTATTTACGAAATGTAGGATAAAGAACCGGCCGACGACACTTCCGAGCATGGGGTTACGGACAAGTGCATACGACCGAATCACGGGGAATTACGATTAATGCTCGGGTACACCGTACGATAATCATCGGATTTTTCGTTTCGCGCACTCACGATGTTCGATCACGCGTTTGACACGAGGCACCGACGAGACCAACGCGGAACAAAGAGCTAAACAACACGGATCGCTCACGCCATATTTCGATGCTGCAGATATTTCTTCCGTCGGACCGTTTCCCGGGATGCATCGGTAAAAACGCGGGGAACGCGAGGAACGCGAGGAACGCGGAACGGTAGTAAAACCCGAACGGACAGTTCGGAACATGTCACGCCATACGACGATTATTTTACGAAACATACGATCGACGACCGAAACGCGAGCGAATATTCAAATGACATGTATTGTCTGTTTATTTATCCTTACAAATGAGGTTATTATCCTCACAAAATGATGTAGAAATGAAAAAGGTACGTAACGACTGACTCTAATTTATAATGAGTTGGTAATATTGCGTTAAAAGCATCAGGCTTCGTCATCTGTTATTGCATTCTGGTAAATTGTGTAATTGTATTAATAATATAAATTATATAATCAGAAGAGAAAAGAAATTGTTTAGCGTTCGCGCATATTTACTTCTTAGGAAATTTGTTAAATAAATAATTAATTAAAAGAATTCAGTATATATGATACGTAACGAAGCTAACATATATATGTAAACATTGTGGAAAAGGAGGAGAAAAAATAAAATGTATTCTTTCTTCATTTTCATCGTGATAACAGATGAAAGCATGCGTGCTTACTACATGAGCTGACAATATTGATCTCAAGGATTTGTTTTATACTCGCGCGTCCTCTCTCCGGGCAAATTAGAACACAAAACATACCGCAGCTCAGCAATGTAAGCGAAGAATGTAAACATTACGCATACAACGTATTCCATTCTATCGACCAATTTTTTGAACGACGAATCGCTCGATCACCCGTGTAATTTCCGTTACTTCTCCGCACTTCCGACATATATCTCAACATACGTTCCAAAACTTCTTCCTCATTACATACACTGTTTTGCGTTATCGAATAAGATTTCAATTGCAACAATTTCAAAGCGTAAACAATTAATCCGGTCGTCTTTTTCCGAAAAGCCGCCGAAGCCTGCGGCCGCTTGGGACGGCGTACGATCCGCTAAGGACGACGCCGAGATATGCGTGCAGCGGAACTACTTAACGAATCAAGAAGAAGTCGTAGGCGTCGAGGATTGCCTTTACCTAAACGTCTACACACCTAAAGTACCATCGGACGAGGAAGCGGCAACGTTCCACCGGTTTCCGGTTATGATCTGGTTTCACGGTGGCGGATGGTTCACCGGTGCCGGTCACTCCTTTTTTTACGGACCCAAGTTTTTGTTGGACCACGATGTCGTTCTGGTCACCGGGAACTATCGGTTAGGAAACTTGAATAATGTTCTTTTGTAAATTCAATCATCGTTCGTATCGATCCTTCTTATCGCAAATGAAGAAAGAATACATTTTATTTTCTCTCCTCCTTTTCCACAATGTTTACATATATATGTTAGCTTCTACTATAAAAATATAAATAATATATATAAACGTGCAAGTAAACTGGTTCTTATGCAATCTAAAGTTACGAAAAATTTTTGTTTGGAACTTTTATAGAAATCGGTCTTGGTAATAAGGTTTATTATATTGGCGTAATATTATATATTTCTTACAACAGACTTGGATCGCTGGGTTTCTTGAGCACGGAGGACATGGAATGCCCAGGTAATGTAGGCATGAAGGATCAGGTGCAAATCATTCGATGGGTGCACGAGAACATTGTCTTCTTCGGCGGTGATCCGAATAGAGTGACCATCTTCGGTGAAAGCGCGGGCGGTGCAAGCGTGCATTATCACATGATAAGTCCTCTCTCTCAAGGTAAGACTTTGGCAAAATTTTCATCCTGAAACGTTAATGTTCACATCAAAATTGATCAATAGTTGCATAAATATATAATAGATATAAAAGGTAATATTATAAAAATACGAAAAAATATTGATAGACGATACGAGAAACTAAATATTTTTTTATTAATAGAGATATACACATATTTCATGTATCTGAAAAAATCTAAAAATAAGCGTATGAAGCATACTCGATAAAATCTGTAACGTAGCTTGTAATTAAAAGTTGTACTCACTGTAATATTTATTGCAAAACGCTACCATGATATATTTATATCAAGCCAAGAACGATTAGTATAACCTGTCGTACTTCCTCTTGCAAAACGTTGAAATGGTAAAAAGATTTTCCTTGACGCGTTTACATAATAAACGTGGTGTGTGCAACAAATGACGTTACAACTTTATCGCGTGTGTTAATTTCTGCTTTTCGCGAAGTGCAATGTCATCGTAACATTATCTTCAATTCAGCCGTATGCATAAATACTATTTTCCATCGTGTTGCGTCGGTATTATGAATTTCCAACAAGTATTGTGAAACATCATAATAGTGATCTTTTTTCCTCGCAAGTATTATATTTAGAATTTCAAATTCAGCGATCGTTAAGAAAAATGATCACACTCTGGTACGTGCATGGCGGGGTTATCTACAGTCTCGTTATCGGCGGGTCAAGATTATGGTTTGAAATATTTCCGAAACAACGTTGTAATTGGCAAAATTTTGTTCTACAATCGGGAGATGTTTACATCATTACGTATATCACAAATTTCACGTCTTTCTGCGCTATTCAGGTCTTTTCCATCGTGGAATTGCTGAGAGCGGCACAGCTTATTGCCCGTGGGCGTTTATAAGGCCAGGATTGGCAAAAAAAAATGCTAATATCATGGGTGAACATTTAAACTGTCCTACTGAAAGCTCCAAAGAACTGATCGCTTGTTTACGTACGAAGAAAGCCACCGACATTATTGACACCGATCGCGTTTTCCGGGTAATTATATGCATATATTTATATATATATATATATATATGCGCAAGCTATCTTCATAAATGTTAAAATTATATAAGAATGAAATGATATAAAATTATATTACATTCCCTGAATATATTAAATGCATCGTCTTATTTACGGAATTATAATTATACAGACACAAGTATCGTATATGTAAAGTGATTCCAACTATCTGTAAATTCAATTGTCGGATTATCGAATTAATTGACATGCTTCTTGTGTATAAAATAATTTTTATCGCAACACACAGTTGTTTATACAGAATTCTTACGTTCGAACATGCGTTATTATACAAGTCTGACATAATATCGTTGCGTCTGATTAGAGAACCTTGTATGAATCAACTGCAGATATTTGATCCAGCTCAATCGTATTAATTCTCTCCGACGTTAACTTTTCGTTTATTATATAGAGGCGTTTTGTATCGCTTATTCATTCCCATAAAAATTTAGAGCTGTATTCATTTAGTTATTAATCAACATTTAAGAGATCATTACCAAGAAATATTGTTTCTTACTATATTTCGACCGGACCTAATTTATACATCTCGATCGATTAAGTGCTAAATCGACATTTATTTATTTTTAAAACAGATTTAACATTAGACATGTGCGATAAGTTTAATGAATCTGATTGAAAGCTTTACAATGTAGGTGTGAATTTCTATTTATTTTATTTAACATGTTTCAATACACTTAAGATTACATCAGTGGAGGACATAAGTGAGTTCGCGGAGCATGTTTCGCACTTGCTTGAAATGTTTTCAACACATTCATGCGCAACCATTATAAAGTACAGCAGTAAAATAACCAATCTGTCCCGAGTCTTATATCTGCGAGTATATCCGTCTCAGACATTATACGAGTTGATAGACTGACATTCCATCGAAACAGCCGCACGTAAATTATTCTTAGAAAGTCACGTGATGGATTCGCTATGTTACACATTGGGATAAGTAGGTCTTGATGCACAATTGAGATTGAAAAATGATTATAACGATCCATTGTGAAATGTTTTAATCGTATTATTTATAACATAACACAATGCATATAGATTTCTAAGATATAATATATATTTTTATGACAATATAATTTTATATATTTTTCAATAACATGTGAGTATATATGTGAAAAAGATATATATATATATATATATATATATTTATTTATTTATTTATTTATTATTTATGCGATCTTTCAAGTCCATGTGCCAAGCCATGACATGTTTTTCTTTTAATCGTAAAATTTTCATATTTAACGTGTTTTCATAAATCGTTTTTCAATAAATCGTTCGACGCAGCTGTTTTCAACGTAACGTATTTTTTTTTAAATAGCACTGTGAAATTTTCATTCGTTTGAAATAATTCTCGTTTACTAATCGTTCGTTTCGAGTAAAAATGCATACCTAATTGATACAAAAGGAATAACAACACAACCAAGTACTGGCGATGCAAGAAACCTGTTTGATAAATATGTAGATATATGTATTTGTGCGTGCTAATCACGTGTTTTACGTGTGTATAGGTAAATCTTTTTACTCGTATTTCGTGTTCGACGTTTCCAACGTAAATAGATGTTGAGTGGAATAAGAAATGGAAAACTGGTTATAGGAATAACGCACGCAATATAAACTTTGAATTATCTATAAAATTTCAGTTAACCAATTGCAATATCAAGGACGGGAATTGTGAATGTTTCATGAGTTATTTCACATTACACCGTCCTCAACACGAGAAAGTAACTAACCGTATTACTTATATAAGCAAAATGTTGCAATACGAAAATAGCGAAAGTAGTATGCTGTTGAAAGACGGAAAGAGAAGCGATTTATCCCGATAATGAAACATATGCTTTCAACCGAGAACATTTTGTTGTTTGCCATAAATACAATCTAGTAATACTTGATAAATACGCGATACTTCATAGACTAAAATTTGAAAACCTCGCGAAAAAGTCGCTTAAACTTTTCAATTCCGACTAAATTTTAATTTGCTTCGTGAAATCTGTATTTGATATCGTTTCTAATTCATCGTGATGTTCTTTTCCCGCGGCTGTATACTTGTTGCTCTATGATTTATGTATGCCCTGACTCTTTGACGGTTTCGAATAATACAATTTAATTAACTGTGTCCTATCATAGATCTTCAGTTACGATCCGATAGTATCTTTCGCACCGGTGATCGAGCCCAATCATCCAGGTGCCTTTTTAACGGAAGATCCTATAATCTCTACGAAACACGGTCGAATCGCTGATATACCTTGGATGTTGGGAGTCACATCTGAAGAAGGAACCCTAAGAGTACCAGGTGAGTAAACAATTCGAATCCAATAAGAGAAGCGAATTTATGTAAAATAAAGATCTTCGATCATAAAATCCTAATTAAGAAAAAATTTTGCAAAACGATTTTCTTTAAAGATATTTCTTCATTTTCTTGAACGCAAAAGAGGAGGATTTGTCTTTTCCTATAATTTCTTTCTTTTAAAATTTTATTAATGTTGCAAAGATTACTCGTTTTATTCTCGAAAAGTTATTATCCATTCCTGAGTAATATGTAAACTCAGTTTTCCGCGTTGCATTGAATTTTTTAATTTATTATGTACTTACCACGTGAATCTTTTCAACGTAAACGCTGTTGTACACTGTAATGATATCCCAAGATGTGTAATTTCGTACAAATTATGCATGAACAAGACAACGTTGATGAAGGGTATCTTTACGTGATTCGCGATGCTTTTCAGCTCTTCACAATTGGGACAATGGTGAACAAGTGAAGAAATTGAATAAGGAATATAAAAAGATAATGCCTATCACTTTGATGTACGAGAACACATGTCCTAAATCTATACAAAACGATGTGTCCAGCAAGATCCGCGAGTTTTACTTCGGTGATCGTGCCATTGACATATCCACCACATTCCAAACCATTGACGTGAGTATAAATAGTCGAATAATTTATAATATTAATATTTATAAATCAAGTCGAGAATATCTACAAAAAGTTACATCTATATAATTTTACTTTTGTCTTACACAAAAATGTTTCGATCGAAATGCGGCTATTATTTATTACGATTATCCGTTAGTCGAATATCTTATTAATATGATTTTATAATTTTACAGATGTATAGCGACTCTTTGTTTATTCACCCGGTTTACAAATCTGTACGAGATTATCTCGATACTCAATCCTCACCTATTTATTTTTATTACTTTACGTACAAAGGAACCTCGTCCTATTCCAAATTATTCGGCGGTTCTACCACTGATTACGGAGTTTCACACGCGGACGAATTGCAATATCTGTTCCCGGTGGGTGAACAATTATTCCCAGATGTACCGTTGTCTAAAGAAGATCATCGTATAATCGATGTCATGACCAGCCTCTGGTTCAATTTTGCAAATTCCGAGTAAGTATGAAAATCTCAAACTTACGTGACGTGATACTGTTGTTGAATATATTAATGCTACGATTGGAAATCTCACGGTTACAATCTCGGATTTTCTTCTCAATGAGACGAAGTCGTCAGATGATTTGCTGACAGGTTGAATTCTTTCAGGAATCCGACGCCAAAGATTACAAAGACAATTCCCGCAAAGTGGAATTCGGTGAAAACGTCGAACGATTTCAAATATTTGTACATAGCAAAATCAAAATTTGTCATGAAGAAAGGTTTCCTCCCGGAGAGAATGAAATTTTGGGATAGTTTGCCGGTGTATGCGGATCCTAAAATGAAACAGAAAGTTAAGGAGGAGTTATAAATTAAATCATACTTGTAATTATATACAAATGTAATCATATATACATGCAATGATATGTAAGTAGTTATACGAGATGCAATATTTCTTCCTTTTAGTCACGTTGTCTGCCAATTTTTCTTGTCTCTCTTGCTATTGTCTTCTGCTTCTGCATTTATAATGTGTTTAATATTCGAAATGTAAAGAAATGTATAACAAAATAATATAAATGTAAGGTATTAAATAATCATTTAGTATCTTTATTAACTTAAATTTTATTGACGGAGATACATAGTATATCGACGTAATATTAAATTATTTTAATTTTTTAATCAAACATTTTAATTTCCTTTAATCAAATGCATCTGGTTGTTCTCTCTCTTTCTGGTTAATAACAATTAAACTTTATTTTCCGTGTAGTTTTGAGGAGAATTCTACTTTTTGAATAATTTTCGTTAATATTTGATATTACGTTCAAATATGAGATTTTTAAGAAACTAATACTAACCGAGATATATTTTTTCTTCACCTTACTTCAGATCAAGAATCAATAAAAACATTTTGAGGGATGTATACGATACGTTGCATCGTTCAGTCGATATTAAATGACGTCTGTTTGCGGTTAATAATAATTATTACAGAATTTATATCAATAAAATTTTAACGTGAAGTAAATAGATTAATCATGGAAAAGGAAGGAAACAATAATTTAATACTGGATATGGAAGCGAGGATGTACGCGCCTCTACAGTGGGAATCATTTGCGCCATGCAAGATTCAAGATCTCAAGGCAGCGCAGTACGAGGAAGCTTTGCGCTTGATAAAAGTTTAGCGGGAAAACCTGCGAAGAATATCCGTGTGATAATTCAACGATGTTAATTATCAGTTCTGTTCAAACGTAAACACGTCAACAACAGACACGTTTCCTGTTTTTTTCCAATCTTCACTCCGTGTTTTTCCTCTACGTTTTTCATCTGCAAAATATTCTTCCGCCGACCTTCTGCTAGGAAATCATGTTTATTCTACTTACCTGTTTACGAATTAATCCATGCGTGATTGTAAAGCATTACTCAGCCTTTATAGTGGGAAATCGCACCACTTTAAAACGCTAGTAAAATTAAATAGATTGGTGATCCTTCATTCAATACTATTTCTTTTAACGATAACTTGCGTCGATCAAGATCGTGGAATAATTCCGCAACAAAAGATTCGTCTTGATGTTCCATAAAAATATACGAAAAGTGAGAAACTTCGGTTTTTGCGCAGCATCACTTCTTTCGGGAGGAACCGATGTGCCAGGCGGCTTCTTTGCAGGAAGATTCGAAGTCCGTAAATGAGTTCTTGAATCTTATAAAAACATGGATGAAGGACAGCACCAGTTTGGTTGCGCTCAGCTTAACATCAGGACGTGTTATTGGAGTCGCCGTTACGCGCATAAACAATGATTCGGATAAAACCGATACGTACAATCGTGTACTAGTATGTTATTGCATAAGATAAGGTTGAGTGTTGCAGCTGGAGTGTCGAATATCTAAATTAGATATCGAGACATATGTTACGCAAATTTACTTCTTCACTTTAAGTTATGAAAAACATTGCCTCCTGCAAGAATAAAACTATCCGAAATTCATGAAAACTTTTAATTATATTTTAATATTATAGTTTCATTGTGAAAACTAAAATCTAGACTACATCAATTAAATAAATGAAATCAAATATATCATAAATCTAAACCCTTTCTCGTTTGATTTGCTTCAGAAATTCGAGGGAAACACTCTGGAAAATATCATGCGTCTGATCAACGCCGTGATAAAGCAAACGAACGTATACAGGGAACTCGAATGCGAGGCATATTTTCGTGTACATCTTCTCTGCGTTCATCCGTCTTATCAAAAAAAAGGCATTGGTATGTCTCTTCTGACAACATGTGTTCAAGTTGCTTCTACGCTGAAAATGTCAGCGATCGGCGGTGTATTTACATCGGGCCTCAGTCAATCGTTGGCGACGAAAGTCGGTTTCAGCCTCATCTCGGAAATTCGCTACAGCCGTTGGGTGGTCAATGACAACGTCGTATTCGACGACCCGGGCAAAGGAAATTATTCGGCCGCTTTCATGGGAATGATAATTTCTTCGCAAGAGTCTATTCACGAATCCTAAACGTCGAATGGTAAAGTGAGAATGGATACCGTATGCCAATAAAAAGTTTTAGTTGAATCAGCAAAAGCCATTTTTATAAAAATCATATTTTTATCGATTGTCATTAAGAGAACAGATTATATTTCCTTGCATGGATAAGATAGAGAACTCGATCGTATCCGTTCTGAAACAAAGTACACTGTATCGATTTAGAGAATATATATTTATACCATCGAAAGTTATTGTAAGGTTCACCAATCTTTACAATTAATGTATCTCTTTAATACCCAAACAAGTTTTGTCAATTTCAAAATTAATTGTTAGCGATAGGTAATAAATAGAAAATGACATACTTAACCTGATATTTCTGAGAATACATTTTTTGGGCCAGATATTTACGACAAGTCCCTCTCTGGAGCGATTGAAATTAAATTCGAATTCAGAATTTTTCATTCGTTTCATTGGAGGGCCGCAGATGTTTCTAGCGACGTTCGACAAAGCGCCTTGTGATGCGTGAGCGGCGAAGTTATGCGATTCCGCATATCTGTACGCATTTTCTTTATCGATAATGAAATGCACAAGAGTGTCATTGTGAGTCACTGCGACAATGTATGTTTATAGTTCGTACATGTCGTCTTTACTGATAATATACTATAGCACTTTGCGTTCTCTCCTAAGAGAGACATATAGAGGCCGATTCTCAGAATCGCATCTTGTATTTAAGATCTGAAGACGAACTTAATACGATCTTAAATATAAGATCTGACCATAAATATCGGTCGCGCGCAGCCTTCGGTTGCACCGCTTTGCCACGGTGCCTCCAACGCACATAATTTACCATGTACTATCTTATCCGTCTTATCCTGCCTGTCCGTCTGCTGTTCACGAATCTAAAATGTATGAATCGTAATGGAGCTTACGAAAAGTTCCGCAGAGTGCGTGACGATAAGCTATGTAACAGTATTTATTTAAGCCTAGATAGCGGAGACATACGGAAGGAAGGATTGAACGGCAAATCATTTTGCGTCAGTAGCACTGACGTAGATATCATCTCGCGTAAGTAGCATTCCCGTTTATATCATCATTCGTACACGAAATTTGACATGAGTGTCCGAAAGATGTGTGGGAATTTTTCAAACTGGTACCGAGTGAAGTTTTAGATATAGTGATTATTAATGCGAATGTGACGATAAGTGCGAAAGCGAGCAATCGAGATAAGCGAGGCAGTCGGCAGCGAGTGAAAATATCTCTCTAAAAAATATCAATCAGAAATAGAAGGATTCAGAAGTCAGTGCTAGACACCCGAGAATCGAAGTTAAGCAATAACGAGCGCGGTTGTAATGTAAATAAATGGGTCAGGCTGGCTGTCGATCGAAATCGCAACTACATCGAAGGACATGAACAGTTTTGTTCTCGCTTTGCATGTTAGTAAGTAGGTCGGTTCGTTTCCGCTGCACCGCCGAACAAATGCAATAAGTTGAAGAGAGAAAACATGTACTTTTTCCCCTCCAACTTATTGCACTAGTTCAGCGGTGCAGCGAAAACGAAAAGACCTAGTGTTAGAAAGTCTGTTAGAAAATATCAGCAAGCCTTTTCTGCAAACTACAACGTAGAGGGAATAGCCAAAAGCTTTTTGTAAAATTTTGTATAAAATATTATTATCGGAATTATAAAAGAGATCCCTGGTATGTTATGTGCGAATGAATATTAATATTGTAAAATTACCGTAATCTTATTGGGATGTTGATGTGCAGTGCGGATACATTTTTTCATTTATATTACATTGGCGATAACTGTTTACAGGTTATTACGAAACTTTTGGAGGGTTCGGGGAGTTACGGTACTCTTCCATAAATGTTAAAAATGGCAAAAAGTAATTTGATTATGTTAAATTGCATTTTGCTCTTCGCGTTCAGTACA